CACGAGGACTGCTAGACAAGGGCCAAATTCTACTGCAGTGCGACGGGACGCTGGCGCGGGTACAACAGGCATAGCGAGCGCCAGCTGCAGCAGGTGCATCTCCTCTCCACCGCTATAAGACAGGGGATTGGGGGCGTCCTGCATACCATACGCATGTACCGTTGCAGCAGATCGACTCTTGCTACGCAGGATTCGCCGGCGTGTTCTGCCTCCCTGGTAGCTGCGGGCCCGTTCCTGTCAGCTTAGGGCCCTCCCGCCGCCTCAGCACCGTGGGCGCAGACCTGCTTACTAGGTGGCAGAGACATTTGTATCCTACAGGTGAGTCCTGAAGGCTTTGAAAAAATCGCCGCAGCCTGCAGCGGGCACCAGGGATCGGACCTCACAGCTGCGACGGACAAGAGGATCTTGGCAGTCGCTTCAGCACCAGGCTGAACTTGATTGCCGCTTGCTAGCGGGCGGGCAGGCAGCGTGCAACGCGTTCCACTGAAGGGGAGCGTGCACTTGACACTCGGAGGCACAGAAGAAGTCTCGCGACTCCTCGGGAGGGCTTGGAAGGAGTAGACGTGCGCAAGAATGGGACCTCTGGCGGAGACGTCTCCTTTCATGTAATTGAACTCTGCTGCCGTTAAAGAGCTAGACGCGCACCAGTTATTGCACCTGATTGTGCGACTGATGCTTGGACAGCCTGCTTCGGCTACTCGGAATGTGTTGTGCTCGAGGGCTTGCTCTGAAAAAGATTATCCCGTACATTTCAGCAGGCGGAAAAAGCTGTCGTGGCCATATATGCCGGGAGACGCAGACAGCGGAGCATCGAACCATTACAGCAGTCGTATGAATCAATCCCGGGCCAGTCACCGCATGCTGAGCAGTGGCGTAGGCTGTACAGACGACGACTATTGTAATAAGAGGGAGGTGCAGACCTTAGACACAACGTGCAGCAGGCAGGTGCACTGGGGGCGCCGTCACTCTCCGGGCGACATTAGCGGCAAGGCGCGAGTGGCCTCACTTAGAACATAGGTATAGGGATGGGCGAGTACGTGAAGGGCCTGGTAACAGGACAGGAAGACAAGTAAGGGTTCTCCAGAATGTACTGCGGGACGCTGTCGGCTACATATGGATATACAACAGCGCACGGGTCAGGGAGCATAGCGCTCGGCAGCGAATAGAGCAACCTCTGACGTTGCGGAGCACATGAAGTGACTCGACACGTAGACAACCGCGCATACCCTCTAACGCCGGACCGGCGACGCTGATGATGCTCATCAGCAGTCCGAACACGATATGGAGAGCACATGAAAGCTTTGCTGAGATGCGCTGCGGGATTCCCAACTAGACCTCTTCCCGAGGTAGAGGACCGCGCGTAGTCAGCGCAGGAACACACGTTATGCCTCGCTATGAAAGCTACGTAGGCAATCTGCTTTCATGCGTACAACCAGACACCCACATCCGCAAGACCGAAAGATCAGAACAAAGCTCCGCTTTGGAATGTTTCGTGAAAAAGTGCCCTCCGAAATGAATCAGGTGGCTGAATATGCAGCAGAACAAAGTCAGCGAAGAGCGTTCGCGCTGGTGTCTTTCGTAACACTCTTTCCCGTTTCGGAATCCTCCACTGTCCTCAAGACATGTACGCGGTCTTCAGCGGAGAACACGAACGGCTCCGAACCGTCATTCGTCAAGAATCTCTGTTGTTTTTTAGACCCGGATCGAACATTCTTGTGCCATTGCTTGAGGCTGCAGGCTACCATTGCTTGGCGCTGCAGGCTACCATTGCTTGAGGATGCAGGCTACAATGGACAAGTGAGACGCACCGTCGCTCTGCAGGCGTGGAAAGCGTAGTACTACGGCGCTTTTGAAGGGAAGAGGCAATTGAGCGAGGCCACGCGAGAGTCCGGCTAGCCACGCTGTTGCCGCCCGAGTCGCCTCCTAGAGCGTGAAAGCACAAAGCACGACTTTTTGCAAAGGCGCTCCCCCTCTCTGTCCGCCTGGTAGGTTTCGGTAATCCAGCGCTCTGACCTGTGAATTTTCGGCCCCTATTCCTTCGCCGGCGACGCCCACGGTTATTATTATACGCCACTAGCCGTGTGCGTTCCCACACTTGTTCAGATTTTCTCGTCGCTTCCTGTGCAGCCGGCGCAACCTACAAATGGTGCTCACGACAGATATTACATCTAAGGCTGGACTCTCTGAATTGGCCGCTGCACAAATCATTACCGTGTGCCGTGTGTCACATAAGCGCTCAGGACGCCTGATTGCTGCGTACTACTAAGAGTTGTCGCCAGTGTGGCAGGGCGCGTGTCCCGGGAGAAGACGTCGGGATGGTCGGAGAGGGGGGTCTTAAAGTGAATAGCACTTCGCCGCAAACAAATACAGGAGAGAAGCATGAAACTGGCTGCGATGCCTCTGTCTGCTGGCCTGGCCTTTGCTCTCGAAAGCGAATCGTGCGGACGCCTGACTTCGGGAACTCTGGGTCTGTGACTGGGCTTTTGGCGCGCACATACAGCTTGCGAACGGAGTAGCGAAATATTTCATCAGTGTCAGGAAGGACTTCCATGCAAGAGTAGATAGCACTGCCGCAGCAGAAATCGGTCTCCACTCCTGAGTGGACACACTGTGTCACCTCCGCGTTCTGCTCTTAAGTGTTGCGGGGAGTAGTAGTTTTGCATGGGAAGTGCACAGGAAGCTGTACAACGTGACAGGCGTTACACAGAGCTCAGAGTAAAGGCAAGAGGCAGCAGCGTACCCGCATACAGAAGCATGCTATGTTAGTCCTGCAGATGGCAGTGCTTGCATAGAGTAGCAGCTACGAAGCTGCTACAGAGCGGCGGATCGGCGGCCGGAGTGCCAAGAACAGGCCCTACGCAATATGCTTAAATGCATCACACCGCTCAGCCTTCGGCATCCGACTGGTGCCTCGCGCAGCGCAACAGTGCCGAGGTACGGTGCGAAACAGAATACATCTTTATGCTCGAAGGTGAACTTCGTAGGGTGTTGACGTAGAGCTAGACTAAAAGAAAGCCCGAAACGGCAGCTCACGCGCACCAGCTAATTTTTTGTTTTGTCTTAGTACGGCGTACGGGGTATGCGATCTCTAACCTGCGGACCTGGTAGTACTAAGTCTTCCGCAGTTGAGCCAGGGGCGCTGCGCCGTCTTCGGGAGGCGGCGCGGCTGCTGCACGCGAAGGCGCGTGGCATCGGTTCGGCGACAGCATTTTCGAGCTACTCCATCTTGAATACAAGCAACGCTCGGTAAAAATGTTAGAGGCAGTCTGCTGTGGTGGAGCCCTTATGGTAGGGGGGAATCTAGCTGCAGGGCCCACGTAAGCTAGAATGCTAGGAGGTGTGACAAGGCGAGGGTGCTTTCCTTCATCGTGCCTAACGAGTATTGGCGACGAACCCATGGAGTGCTGGGCCAGCGTAATACTCTCGTGCCAAGGAGCGGCCCTGTCATTCACGCTCACCTTGAGCGTCCGCGTGCCATACAGGACACACTCCCGGTGACTGGCAACCGGTGACCTGTTCTATGTATGTTTTACCTGGACGGCCGTGTAGAATCCAAGGCTACAATGCTGTCTGCACTCTCGCTCACTAGCAAGTGGTCACTCCTGTTGTTCAGAGGCTGAGAACGGCGCACTTTTGAAAGAGTACGACTCGTGAGGCCCTGGATGCTCACTGTGAAACCTCATTTAATCAGGTGTTGGTTAGGCGCATTGAACGTTATGCACCAGACTTTTCTTGAGCGCCACAAGGTAGTGCACAGGCTCCCCCATCGTTTCAGAGGAAGCGTAGTGCTAAGTCAGTTTTGCTTCCCTGCAGCTGGACCGCGGCGACACGGGAGGCACGTCCTGATGTGTGGCAATAGGCGCTGAATAGCGCTGCCTTCTGAAAATTCGGAATTCTCTACGAGCGTTGCTTACAACGAGTACGTTTCAGTGTTTCAAAAGTAGCCTGGTTACACGTAGTTTGCTGTTAGAGCACAATGAGCCGGCAGTCTTTCTCCGATGCGGAAAGGCTAACCGTACTACGCAGCCGGTCCACTGCAGCCAACGGTACCAGAACAGGCGTACACTGCAAGCGCAGGGCTTAGAAGCAGTGTTACGTCCTCCCACTGCACGCCTGTGACTAAAGTCGTGAAGCGCAGTCATGGAGCTTAGCGACCAACGCTTGCCTGAAGCCGGCTTTTCGGCGGTCTATTTCTGGTACCCCTACAGCAGACGGTGAGCACCCGCGTGACATGGTGAGCCGGTAAATCGTTGCTTCTGCAGAGATGTTTCGGAAATTACGAGCCTGCCGCAGCCTACAAAGCGGCTAGACCGTAGTTCGTTGAATCTGCACACTGCGGATATCAGTGACTTCATCTAGTTCACGGCGCCGGACTCTGCGCGGCCTCTCTCTCATCGTTGGCAGGACCTCCGGAGCATGCTAAAAAAAGTGTGCGTACTGTCGAGAGCTGTGCAGAACGTCATTCAAATAGCACCTGGCAGATGTCTCGATAGTGCACGTGTCTGTCGTCAGGCGCGCGAGAAGTTCTCGCACTTGAACTGCGAGGGCGGGACCCTATCGCGGCAACGCACCTCTACTCTGTACCGCACCCGTATGAGAGGCCTTGCGCCGACTCTGGTAGTAGCTCTGCGACGAGCCGGGCAAGCAAGTCATTGCGAGCTGGACAAAAGCACCGACGCGTCTTTTTTGGGCAGAGCGACATCTATGGACGCTTCGGTGGCCGCGCCGCGTTTACGTACGTACGCTTCATACTCTGATGCCTAGAGAGCCCAAGCAGCACCTCGCCGTGCAGTGCGCGTGCCGCCTAATATATCTGTTTGAGGAAGGCCAGAAGGTAGCGATACGACGAATGTAATAAGAAGGCTGCTCTTGAATCTAACTTGCGGTCAAAGGCGGCGGGACTCTAACCGCCCACTGATCCTGTACACCGTGTGTCGGCTTGATACAAGGGATGTGGGGGCGAAACGACACCTGCAGGTCCAGAATAGTGTGAGAGGAGGCGAGGGCTCAACGTGCAAGACGCCGCCAGTGACAGTCGCGGTTTTGAACGAGTGAAGTGAATGAAGGCAATCCTCACTTTCATCGCGATTTTGCGGACGTTACCACTGCTGCCAGTATAATAGCTGAGCGCTCAAGATAAGTCATCACTACCCGCCTACCTCTTCGTAGGAAGCATGTTTGCAAACCAAAGGGACGCTAGGAAGAGACGTAGCTAGGGATGACCCACAGGCACGCGGGCCGTAGAATACGTTGTCGATGACGAACAATTAACCGAGACCGCCTTGCGCAGGGTAAGGACAGCGCCACCAGGGAGCTTAACAGAAAGCTCCTCGGTAACTCTCTGTTCTTAGTGGGGTGCATTTCGACGTCCCTCAGCACACATAGAAGATCGCGTTTGTTCTAGTGGCGCGGCGGCATTTGCACACCGTTACATTTCCTGCCGTGCGTGGAAGAAATACGGCCGGACCGGTTCTGCGCCCATAGTCGCCTCAACATACTTCTTTGCTGCTGGCGCTGCTGTCGCCTTGAACAGGACGGGACAGATCAGATGCTTTCGTTCCGGAGCGACACGGTGCCCGGCCATTGAAATGGACTTTTTTGTAAGTAGAACTGAACTGTCACGCTTTCCATACCTCAAGTCAAACCACGCGGCCAGTTACTGGTGAGCGGTGTAGACACTGGAGTGCGGACATTCCACCGACAAACTAAGCATGACCCTTAACGGCAACCACATGGCTGAATGGGAGAACTTTCTGTGCTGAGATGCTGAGCGTTGTCCGTAGCTACACAACCAGCGGCGTGCGATGGAGCGCACCATTTGCCTGCTATATCGTCTGAGTCACCTTGGCAGGGGGATGCGTACACAGACTCGGACGCGGTTAACAACGATCAGAGTCTCTGTGCTGATCCCGTTGAACGCCTCTTGGAGGTGTGGATCCCCGACTACGTTCTTATACATGCGGACCTCTGCCAGAAAGCAGCTCAGCAACGTACGGCACCAAAGCGGCAGGGCTACTGCCGTAGCGCCGGATAGTACACTTGTCGGGGCACCGGCAGTAGCGGGGAGACCCTTAAGGCCCGGTTGGTCTCCAGGCCGTCTCACCGTGGTCCCAGCGGGTCTGTGCCTACTATTGCCTCGCCCCCAGACACACGTGAGTGAGGCCCCGACACGCTGACGGTGTAGCCGGTGCATACAAATTCCGCGTCTGTCCTCGCCGCCACTCGTGTCTCGCAAGCTAACTTCTTGGTCGCTGCAAAGAAGACCCCTCAAAATGGACTGATACACGTCCGGGCGCCTTCATCCGCAGGCCCGTGCCGGGAACAGCTGCATGGCGGTGAGCCAGCCAAACGGCCTGAACCGTCGCGCAGAGATCTGAAGTTATGATACCGTCCAAGTAGTATTCGAGACGGCCCATAGCACCACTTCGTCCTGGCTGCGGTACTTGACACGATTCAATCGGAGCGCGTTAGTGTCGCCCGCTGCTAGCGACGATCGCTGCTGTCCTCAGGATGATGAGGCCTTTTTATTTGTGCTGCTATTCTTGTCGGGGAGACTCTTCCCGCCTGTCGATGCTGTACCACCTCGCCACCATAACGCAACGCAGTCCCGCTGTCCCGTCCCCTAGCTTGTTCGTGTTCGTTATGCTTCTGCGACAGCATGCTTCAGCCTTTTAGTAGGGCACTTTGTGTCTTACCGGAGTCCTGCCTCGGTTTTCACCTATGTAGACGCCATATGATGTATGCTGGACCCTTTCTCCTTTACCCGTCGCTGTTGACGCAAGGACAAAAGCGAAAATCGTTTCTGCCAGCGAATGCGCACTACGTGACAACGTCTTTAGGGTTGGCCCGGAAGGAGGCTTTGAAAAGAATAGATGTACGAGAGCGGCTTTCGAGTTGTAGGGAGTAGCTTCTCGAATAGCACATGAGGTGCACGCGGAGAGCACGGAGAAACACATCACCTTCTTCCTGTGCTCGGCTTCAGTCAGTAAAGCAGGCGAGGGGGGGGCGTCAAGGTGACGCTATCACTGTTTTTCGGCGCGGGTGATCCTCTGGCAGCATTCTGGTAGCACTACCCCTGCGCGTTGTGCCTCATAGGCTCTGAATGTAGGACGCGAAACGGACACGGGGTAGTACAGGTAATGAGCTTTCACTGGTTTGCAGACGAAAGCTCCGAGACGACGAGCGTGGTAGGCGCTGACGGTTTGAGCTGAGAAGTAGTCCCTCGGAAAGCGTGGCCATGGCGACAGAGAGGCGGCTAATCGTCCTACATATAATAGACAGTTGCTCTGGAGGGGCACTTACGCGTAGTAGTGAGCCACAACCTGCTTCGCGTTTCTGCTCAGCGCACAGGAGAGAACACGTCACAGTGTTATCGATAAAAATTCACCCTCCACAGCTACCCGGCTCTTGTTGTCTCCAAACCTTGCTGGTTAGCACGGAAGACACTGCGCGCCGCCTAGAAGCAGCGGAGAAGGGTTTCACGGCTCAATGTCATGTTGCATTGCAAGTTGTATGAAACAACAGCGCAGATACGCCTCGATTTTGTGACTTCTCACAGATTGAGTGTAATTTACTGTTGCCTCGGATAGCACTCGCGGCAGGGCTTCAGACACAATGTCGTACAGTTTACAGCCTGGTTCCAGGCCCACGGCGTTGCCCGTGCCTTCGTCGATCCTGCTGGCAAAGATGAATAATGTAGCCCGGGCGATTAGAGTTTCGCGGCAAACGCATCATCTAGATCAGAAGCATGCGCGCGCTTCTCTGGTGTAGATGCAGTGCTGGATGTGAAAACGGGACGCTACGCGGTTGTCGTCTCCCAGGTCGACACTGGAGGGGGTTCTCATGAAATGAGCGAGGAGGCACGGTTCACGTACTCAAAGCATTTGTATGAGGCGGCGGTTGTCCGTGGGAACTAAGGTAAAAAGCATAGCCGCAGATAGTGATACATGCTGACGCAGCTTTGGGGACGCAGCAGGAGTCTACAGAGGAACCCTCGTCACCGGAGGGTGATGAGGACCTCCGCGGCAAGCTCTGTCGAAGTAGTTTGGCATTAGTGACTCAGGAATTCAGACACGCGGGCAACGAGGGATGCGCCAGGGCTTGAAGCCGAATGTGGCGCGCAGTCGTTGGCTGGAAGTATATATGTGACAGCTGTTGCGTACTCCTAGTCTATCACTGCTGCCTGCTCAAAATTGCTATATTTGCACTCTTCAGTGCGGAGTTGCTTCTCCTGTTCAGACGGCGGTGAGATGCAAGGACGTAGATGCAGGAAGGTTACTGATAGGCTGGAGCCACCTTGGGCTCCTCGGCTGACCGGATTTCAACAAAAAGCGATGCGCTTTCATACAAGAGCGTCGCTGCTGAGGAACCTGGGGCCTCTCTTCAAGATAAAGGCTTCAAAATCAGACGAATTATTTAGAGATAAGGTGTACCGGGATTGTTGCTGCTCTCAGCAGAAGCGCTCTCATGATAGAATCCTGGTTTACGCAAGATGGAAACGCCCACACTTTTGGCAGAACAGACGTGAGGCGCGTGTCACTCTGCAAGGCATACTCTACAGAGTAAAAGGCCTCGCTCCTTGTACTTGAGTATGCGCGCTACAACTGGCTGTATTGCATCTTATACAGTCTCATGACACACCACATAGACCGCTGTTTGCCATGATATCGCTCACTCTCCTCTAGAATTCCGTGAGTGGTGTTTCAAATCAGGGGAGTGCTCGCGTGCCGTTACCGAAGTAAAATGGTTTTTAGAGTGAGATGTCCCTTTCCATCGAAACTTTCAGTGAGTCCCCCCGCGGATGGCGCTGGTGGCTGCACACTAGAGCCTCGGCGGAGAACTGACTCCACACATTGTGGCGACCACCTGTATCAGTCGACAGCACAACCCATCTTCCACGGCGATGGGTGTAAGGTGGACCGCGAGAAAGACTGCTCGGAACCAGGATCTTGGAACGCTTAGTCCCCTTGCCTCTGCGGACCCGCAGAAACCATCATGATACGCAGCCGACCACTAACAGCGAGTAGTGAGATGTTGCTCTGATGTTTGTCGAGGAAAAATTTGCCTACTCCGGGATCGCAGACGGGGTCAACTGTCATTCTGCTGGTGTATGCCCCTCCCGCTCCATGAGCGCCTCCTCTTATGCCGCTGAAGGGTGCGCGGCTAACGGCACAGAAAGGCAATGTACGGATTAGAAAGTTTTTCCTGATACAGCAACCGCGCTCGAGCCGGGGACATGATGCAGAAGCTGCAGAGAGTTACATTGCGTATAGCAGAACATCTCCGGGATGCAGAGTTCGAAGGCTGGGCTTAGGGGCGGTGATGGGCCTAGTCGTACGGAACAGCGCCTACGACAAACCAGCCGCCATTAACGACCGGCAGCCGCAGCAGATATGTGTGCGTGTGTGTTTGCGCAGGAATACGCATAAGGCCTAGGAGGCACGTTCAGCGAAGCAAGCATCGCCGGGCGTTTGTGCCTCCAAAATGGTACGGTGCGGGCAGGCGGGGGTGACAGCCCCTCCCGGAAGCGACTGTGGATGGGGCGGATGATCAGGGCTACCTACTCATTGCACCTTCATCACATGACGGCGACACAGAAGGTTCTTTGGAAGCTTAAATTTGAATATGTGACCTTCAAAGCGAAAAGCCGTACGGAAATATAAACAGCGACAAGCCAGAGCTCATGAGCCGGAGCTTATCACCTATATGACTACTTGCATGTACGTAAGCAGCCTTTCCGCAGATCAGCTGGATTACTGTCTCTCATTTACGACCTTCTAGGGAGTGAGCTGCGGTCAGGGGGACGGCGGGCCCGTTGCCTTCACCGGCGGCTGCCTCCTACGAGTAGAGTTCAGCCGCTGCCAATATTGCTGGTGACCGACATTCGAATATGCTGCGGTCTACAGGTGTGAGCTCCTTTCGCGGGTGCATCTACAAATCAAACGCGTGACAAGGAGAGGAGTTCTCTTTGGACGGTGCCGGTTTAACGGCAAGGCCTCCAATGCCCCCTCGAACGACGGGATAAAGGACGGCACGTGTACGCGGCCTGATACGGGGTTGGCAGGGGCACGTGGAAGCCGTGCTTGAGAAGCACGATAAGCAAACGATGCCCCACATTAACGAAGAGAGCTTTGTGTTCCCTGCAGTCTGGGACTTCGCAGGCAACGCCTCCGGTGGTTCGCGTATTCTGGTGATCTGGCTTGCAACTTGTCGCGGTAAGAGACTGCTGGCCACGGTGCAGCACTGGGTGACGCGCAGAAACATTTGTGACCTGGTCCGCCTTCGTGCTAACTGTCAAAGCGCAGCTCGCGTCTGCTGATGTCCCTCTTTAGGAGGCAGGCTGGGAATCCCGACCGGGATGTGCTGTGTGTTCGAGCGCTACAAACTGCGGAGCACTGACCTGTGGCCAGCCTCTGGTGAGGACTACTGTCGTCGCTTGGACCGACCTGCTACTTTGCCAGCACAGCCTCTTATGCTGATGACACATGGAGGACAACCGCTGCCCTCCGAAAAGCTTCCTCAGCGCGGCCTTTGCAGGCAAGATAGCATCGACGAAACGCGGAAGTCGTTTTTCCGCGGTCGGAACTCCGCGATTGAGAACAACAGTTCTAAGATCCTTGTGCATGAGCGCAGCTTAAACTGGAGCTACTCCATCCCCTCTGAGCTGTCAGAAGTGCACGCACGCAGCCTCTCTGTTCAGCAACCACCGCTATCGGGGATGCCTGGGCAATGATGCGGAAGCCATTCTCACGCGTCTCATACTGTATGTAATGCCACGCCAGGCTGGCAGACGGTGCTTCCTGCTCCATAGGTCCAGGTAACGTACCGTAGCCTCTTTATTGAACCAAGCTACAACGCTTGTTTACCGGGTCAAACGCACCATTCAACATCCGTGTGAAACTTATTTTTGGGATTTCGAGCCGCGATTATAAGACTCACGCTCCTCAGGCTCCAAGCGCCCATCCACAGGGCTGCCGAGGGGCGATCCTTGACCGTAGCGTACTAATGCGCCGATGTCACCGCAGAAAAGAAGTGCGTGCAGCGGTGTGGTTCCTTCATAACCGTTGCCTGCCTGATACGCAGCAACAGACAGTGCGCAAAGGAAGAGACTGCCCTAGCACCGCGGCACGCATGCGCCGCCCGCGTCTTACAGGCACCTTGAAAACCTTCTCCTAAAACTGTCTGCTCGACAGCTCGGAGGGTAACGTAATTTTTGACTGGTGGATCACTCGCAGAGAGCGTGCGGACAGATGCGCACTCCGTAATTTGAGTAACCTGTGTCCACCACCTGCGCGTACTAGCCAGTTCCTGCTCACTCGTTTACAGGTTGTGGAAACAGTCTTTATTGCTGCGGAGCTTTTTACCAGGGACTTACTACCGAATTTTCAGCGGCGAAAGCGAACTGGCTGCTCTCGCTCGCAACCACCGACAGGATAGCATAGAGGACACCTGGCTACTGCACGACGTCAAACCTTTGCCGACGGCAATGTCGCTTGAGGCGCAGAAGGGTCTCATGCGGGAAGTGACGACAACAAAGGAAGAGTACATCGAGCTGGAATAAAACTGAATCACAAATGGTTGCGACGACGGTAGATGGAACTGCTCAGGGCGCAGCTCTGCTGCGTCTGGTTTTCAATCCGGCACGGCACTTGTTAAGGAGCCCAAGCTTGGGCCGGCGTCCCTTCGACCGGGCGGCGGAAGGAAACCGGAGATAGACTAGACAAAGAGGAGAAGAGGTCGGATCGTCCTTCTGCATTGGCAATGAACATTGTTGAAGGCGCTGGAAACGAACAAAACCGCAAGCCGAACAGGGCCTCTATGTCGCAGACGCCACAAGTCCATCCTGCGCTGAAAAGCTCTGTGTAGCGCGAGAGTCGGCAAGAAGGGGCGCGGGAGTTGCGCACCGTGAGAAGAGATGCACAGAGTTCAGAAATACAAAACAGAACGCTGTTTAGTCTTGAAAAAGCTCACCGTCATCAGTGGAACTGCTTGTACTGTCTGTGAATAGCTGCGCTGTAATGTGGAGCACCCTCAGCAGAGTGGAGCAGCCGCGATAGAGAACTGCTCTTGACGTGCAGTCCGTGGCTAAGGATACTGTATCGCCGGAGGGAAGATTGCGTCACGACCGACAGTCTTCAGCTTCTCCGTTGTACATAAGTCCTTCGGTGCGGAACAAACACGAATCTGTGAAACGCCGTAACAAGTTTGCTGCTCTGGGACGCTATACCGCAGAGCAGCGCGACCGAAACTTATCCGGGAACAGCTGTACTATAACAAAACGTCCTGTTACAGTGCCGCAGTGTCAAGATTGTGAGGGCGTGAGCTTCTGCGCAATTGCCGGTAGGCCTGTTGCTACTGGTCCTAGGAGGTTCTACGCGATGCGGGCGCGTATGCGAATGTGTGTGACCTAATAAGCTGAGGGTTCGGCACGAAGGGGGCCGACACTGTATGACAGTGTAAATATGTCCTTTTCTATCCGTGTTCCGGTTCAGACTGTAAGCTGAAGTAGCAGCGGCATTCGAAATTTTACACGATGCTTTTCCAATAAGGCACTGCACCGTGTAGCCCCGCTGCAGAAGGCCGATATGGCTTCTTGCCTCCTCGTGTGCGGCTCCAAAGTGAAGCCCGTATCGCCGCTTTCGGCATCTGTATAGCTTCACGTGCAGAGGGGGCAGGGGGTGCCGACATCTGAAGACGCTAGAGATGGTGTGGACGAGTGCGCCAGTAGAGAGGCTCACTTAGGATGCGGTCTAAAGACATCTCGCAGCACGTGACGCTGATAGAAGATTTTCGTGTCACAGAGATTCCCGACAAACGCTGAAGTGCACGCAGCGGCGTTCTCACGAGATTATTACCGTCGTAGTTCCAGGGCTGACCGTTCCCGAACGAGATACAAGTCATCGTGCAGTGCTGCACCCGCGAGCAAGTAGATGCAGACGCTGTAGAACATGTCACCAGGTCCGCTCTGCTCTATATGCAGAGTATTCTGTTCTCGGGTACTCAAACACGTTTGGGTGTCTGTGCGTATGCGTGCTGCACTCTGTCGCTACATCGCAGGAATAGGCACCACTGTTTACAGTATTACTTATAGCAGGACTATTCAGGTGGAGCTATTACGCGGCGTAGCCCTGGGTAAGAAGCCTGTATTTCTCTAAAAGAAAGAAAGAGATGCTCCCGTAGTATTGCCTCCTTTGCCGGCCGGCTATTCTAGCCCATGAGAAACCGCCGCGTTCACGGGTACATAGCAAAGGTACTTCTTTCCGCTGCCGTACTGAAGGGGCACGGAAGGCGTGCGTAATTGAGTGGTCACCACGTATAAGGCATAAGCGCTGTGGGGTCGTTTTCAAACAAGTGCCGCCAAAAAACCCTTTCAAGGGGAGATGTGCTCATACTGGCGCTCGGCGGCTCGTCGTACTGTAAGACCGGAAGTTGCGCCGCCTGCAACGCGGTTGCGTCCTCTGCCTGCAGGTGCGCAGCGCCAAGCACTCCACTGAATCTTCACGAGGAGACGTAGTGTGAAAGCTTTCGCGAAGGAGTGGACGACCTGTGTAGGGCAGTTTACGGCAGCAGGCGCCTCTCTCGGAAACAACCAAGGATAGGAAAATGCCGTGTGTAGGACTTACAGGGTTGTACAGTTGGCACGCTCAAGAGTATTGTAAAGTTGTGAGTGATATCTTTCTTAGGCCGCCTTCCACGCTTGCAGTGCGGGTTGGGCCGTAGTGTGCGTCTAGCACCCACGTGACGCGACACGGCGTTGCAGACATCGGCGGGCGCCGGATTCCTAATAGCAGACTCGCACTGCTTTCCAGTACTTGCATGTTCAGCGTCGTCCAGCAGTGCAGCTCTTCTGCGGAGGGCGCCTTTTGCCCGGATGGTAACTCTTCCTCCAGGAACACGCAGAAGCGCTTCGATGCCCACTACGGTATGCTTGAATTTCAGTTGAAGAAGGTCATAGTTATAAACACTTCCGCATTGCACGCCGGAGACGCATGCGGCGTGACCCACAGCACTGCTGGGTGTTTTGCCGAGGAAGCCGAGGCGTTACGGAGGTTGGCTGCGCGGATATGATCGTATACGTGTACAAGAGACTGTCACCGGTGGAGGCCGGAACAGGTTTCCTAGCCGGTTCGGACCGTTTCGTAGCAGCGTTTGTTTCCCACTAGGGCGCTCAAAGTCAAGCGGAGGCAGTGGTCATCCGCGGCTGACCACTAGGCGTTGTTGCACCGTATGACGCATGCACTTGAGTCTGATAGGCCGCCAGGAGTACGTACTGTTGTGCAGAAGCGGGGGGAGTCACGGCCAAACCGCCGCGGAGCCCCGGGGCGCAGGTGAAAGTGTCCTGAAGAGTTAAGACGCCCTCAGGACACTTACTAACTACCTGTCTTTTCCGCAGGGCGCTGAGAGTACGCTTTTGTATCCGCTTAACTGTGTTAGAGCACGCCGAAACAGAGGACAGACCTTGGCAGAAAACGGGGGCGCGTCTGCGCTAGAAGGCTAGCGACCTGTGCAAGAACCAAATGTGAGGCGGGCGAGCGCAGCTGTCGCACCCCTACTACATTCTCAAACGGAGAGGATACGTGAGTGATGCACCTTTTCTTGGCTTGTATATCTCCATAAAGGGCCTGAGTTTTTTTCACAAGCAGCCTCTTATGCGGCTGAACAATGACGAGGCTGTCAAACACAAAGAATCAGCTCTCGCGCTCGTACATTTTTCCCTTTTTTTGAGAGACCGAACCCGATTTCTGCGCGCTAGCGTGACGCCATGCTGAAATATTCACGCTTCCAAGGTACCAATGTCCGCTACGAATAAGCATTCTGCGTACGGGGCCCCCTGCACCAGAATTCATAGGTAAATCAGATCAACGGCAGCTGCTGGCCAGGAGTTGTCAAAAGAGGACAGATAGGGTTCACTAGCGCTTTCCATTCAGAATACACATGGTACTCTAAGATGAGCAGAAGCGTTCGAAAGCTAGGCCCCAATTTAATAGTGGGGGCCAGCCGGCTGACGGGCGACCTTCGTTTGTCACGCTATGCTTTCAAGGTAGATTAGCAGGCAAGACCTTAGAGACCAAGGGACATTGGATACGCAGCTGCAGGCTCGAACCAGCAAACGCCGGTGCTTCCGGCGAGTGCCGTCTCCTACATCTGGCATTATCTGGACAGGTATCTCGAGCACGTGCGCTTGTCCTTAATAATTCCCTACGCTGAAGGATCCTGTTGGCAACACAGAACAAATAGTCAAAGAAAAAAAGCTTCCGAGGGTCTGATCACGAATGAGCTCCGATCACACAGCGCCGTGGACGAACCACAACAGAAGAAAGAGAGGGTGCCCGGTGACGGCTGGGCTCCTCCGTAGGCATGTCGTTGCGGTGAGTACCTTTTCTGCTATCCGACCGAGCACGTCGGCTAGTCCCGCGAGGAGAACTCTTCTTACGCCGATGTACAACGTACGCGGCCGGAAAATTTCCAAGTTTTCCAATTGCGCGCACGCGTGAATGTTGTCGCGAACGCCGCACCCCTACACCGATATTCGTTGCTATTTCCCGAGCTTGTTCTATGCACAATATAAGGCTGCATAACAGTCTAGAAACAGGAGAGTGACCTCAAAAGCCGTGCGCTGCTGTGTACCTGGCTGTACTGCTGGACCACATACTTTTTCTCCCTGTTATCCCTGCAACAGCACACGAGTGGCAGAGGCGCGCAAGATTCGAGTGGGTGAGAGCGCAGTGTCATCGTGACGCTCGAGAGACTAGCGCGTGGTGAGACCATGTTTCCTTAGAAGAGATCTTTTCGGCTGCGCCGAGGACTCCGCCAGAATTGCCATGTCAAACGAGATGGTGGCTACGCTCGAGCTGCGCGCCCGCGGCCGTCCTCACTGTTAGGTCGTGGGAACGCATGAAATACTCTTGAAGTAGTAGTGCCTACTTCGAAGCGCATGTCACTCCATAATCCTGCAACGGTGGCGGCTAGCGACAACCCTGGCGCGAAGCAAAAACTGAGTAGGCTACATGCTGCCACAAGCTTTGCTCTCTAACATTCGAGAATGCGCCTCGCCTAAATTACGACTTATGGTAAACTCATGTCATCAAGAACGTCGGTCGATGAGAAGAGCGTCGCAGCACAATTCACGCACCTTGTGTCAACAACGCATACTGGAATCACTCCTGTCGAGGAGGTCTCAAAGCGAAAGGTCTATGCACAGTGGCCGTGGTGCCGCCCCCTCCCTGGGGGGGCTGCAAAAACAGTGATTTGTCAAAATAAAGCCTCAAAATAAAGCAAATTTCATATGCATACCAATGTGCCCTCTGCCTCCTCAGGCGCTAACGGCGCGTCGGGCGCGCCTGCTGCTTGTAGCAGTGGCCGGTGACACTTGCCGGTCACTCGCAAGGATGTGCTGCACATACCCACGGCCTTAATGCTGCGGGAATCTCCGCAGAAGTTACGTCTGAGGTTGCGTGCCCCCTTTTACTAACTACGCTGTCGCATTCAGCGAGCTCTGTCGTAAGCCATACTATGAGGTGATTTGGCGAAGCAGAACAAAAGAAGCAGACACAGCAGCTGAGACGTCCGGAAGACCCTGCGAAACGCCTCTCTGCAGCGCTTGAAGAGGTAGACGTGCTAAACGCAGCCGCGCCGCGCACGTATGATGTGCGAAGGACCCGGGGCTGACACGGCCGACCACGTTCGTGCCAGAAATACGCCCCAGAAGTACCAGTTTTCCCTTTAGAGGTCGGGAGGGCTCAATCCGCCGTTTCGTCTTTGTGCATCTGCATGTAGAAGACAGTGTACATGGTAAACAAGTCGCCAGGACGCTACTCTCGGCCAGCCGCCTTCTCATGTACATGCTGCGGTGATGCACTGGGGGCCGCCTAACGCTCGGTTGCGGAGAAAAGCTGTCGTGTGCTTGAAACTCAGTTCAGGGTGAGATGTGACCACGCGATGTATATTGTGACTGGGTCGTCCCTGAATATCGCAAGCTGCACGCCTGGACCCGCCGACCCGAGTGACACGTCTGCCCTGCAGATTCTTAGACACGGTCACTTTTGTGATTTGAACAGCGCTCGTTCTTCAGCATCAGCAGAGGCCCCCATGTCTAGCGTTACTCTTCAGCGGTTTCTCCTTGAATTGGACTTTTCTGGGGTAGAGCTGAAGCTTTTTCCGTGGGCCGTTACCACAACAGGAGGTTGCACCATTACGCCGAGGCCCCTGTGGAGTACAACTAGCAATAATATACAGTCCAGAGCCAGGATCCACCGGCCGGAGTATCGTGCAGCAAAGCGATGTAAGGAGAGGACCGGGGATACTCCTGCCTGGCTGATTACAAAGAGGAGTCCGAGGCGCCTGAGATGCGGCACTAGGCAAGCGGAGGAGAGTCGTAGAGCCGTCGCGGAAGAGCAGAATGCCTGGCGATGCGAACGTGGATGATCACGCTAAAAAACTGGATCACGAATTTCTACGTAGGAATATACAGTGTAGCTTGGCTCGTCAGCATGACTGAGACTCATTGCCTGTGCTGCAACCAGCGTGCGCTGTCCACCACAGGAGCCTCATGCATAGACAGGGCTGCACGGTCGCGCGTGTAACTGACCTCGGCGCGTCTGCAGCCGACGTAAAGGCGAGCGCTGCAGTACTTATGAGATGTCTCTTCCGCGTGCGTGGGATGCGTGAGAGACCCTAGACACTGTGTGGCGTTCAAAAAATTGGCGGCTGGCGCCCGTGTCACGCTGAGGCAGGCGTAACTCCCGCAGCAGTCAGTAGGGGACTACCGTGCTAGGTTTCATGTGGCTTCATGATCATTCTCGAAGTTTCTCCTGCATGTCGAACGCACTAAGTTTTTGGCAGCCTACATGCATATGTAGCTGATGGCGATGCACAGTAGCGCTGGCAGGCGCAGAGGCGGCAGGCGAATCCGCTGATTCAGATTCAGAGACAGTACCCGAGATAGCTGAGAAGGGCGCACATCGAGACATACTGACACGCTTTGTGCGTTATACGGCCACGCTCCTGACGTGTAGCCTGCGGAGTGCCTATTATGTTAAGCCCTTCGCAGGATACTGTCGCCACTGCAATTCAAGCCTTCTCTGGGGCATAGCTACCTCGTAGTCGTTGGCGGTTCTAATTTATCCAAGAGGCCGACGTCGTATTCTAAGACGGTGTTCGATATACGATGACTGCAAAGACGCACGCGTACATCGTTTAGAAGTTGTTCATGTGGATGCTGTCGTATATTTGCTTTCTAGCTGGAAATTAGGACTACGTTTCTCGCTTTCCGTGAAGGCGTGTTACTATTCAACGAGGTCGTGACAACCTCCTGATTTTATCCCGCTGGCTAGGCAATCACTAAATTCGACATCTCAGGCGCAGGTAACTGGAACAGACCAGCGAACGTCGCTGTCTGCCCCCCAAACCGGAATTCTTCACTACTTGTTCTGCTTGATAGCCCGGCAGGTTCTCAGGAGGAGATAGCTTGAGCACAAGCAGGGCGCGGCCTCACGCGGTCACAACCTCGCATGATCGACAGGATTGGCAGACGTGCGGAAGAAAACGAGTGAGCCTGCTGTCTCAGAACGATACGTGGTGCGGGGGCTCCGTGGCGATGCTCCTGTCATGCCATAAGAAATGGGGAAAACGCAGCGGCGTCCTGAGTGGCGGTGCATCAGACGGTCTCACAGTCGACTCGGTGTGTACGCGTTGCCTCCGTCTCAGAGGCTCGTCGTCGAGGGCTCAAGCCATTTGGCGCGGGCCGCATATCACGTGTAGGCTCATAGACGTCGCGCCACATGCACGTGCGACCTGTCCTGTGTCTGGGTGCCTGGCGGCGCGTAGTGACCGCAGCCCCGAATCAGCTGGCGCAGAACCAACCGTGGATCGTGGGGGTCCTCGCGGATGTCTCAGATGCACGTCGGACCGATGGAGACAGCACTGAGCCGTCTGACTGTAGCAGACTCTGGTAGCGTATCATCGCAACGCAGCTTGGGCACTTTTGCTGGCAGTCCAACAGTACAGATGTGAGGGCTGCACACAAAAGATACTCGGCTGCTTCCTCCATGCTGTGGTGTGGCACGCGGGCATTCTGACTAGGAACTGTCCGGTATGTCAATTCTGCTGAGGCTGCGACGAACGCGGGAAGAAGCGAAAACCGCTCAGAGCTGGAACTAGCTGGGATCCTCTAGGAGAAAGCGTAGACCGGTGCGTCGTAGACGGCGGGAGAGCACATCGCTCGCCGACAACCATCGTTGCCCTTTTCTCCGCTTCCTGCGAGGCGCTCAGGACGTGAAAGCAGCGGGGTACGGCCGTAGAAACACTGCGCTTTCAGCTGGAGCGATAATGACGGCAGCGACAGCAGCGTGCAAAGCGCAGAATGCTACGGAAGCAAGAGTGTGGGATAGGGGGGCGGAGCGTGTTGTACTCTCGTAGGGTGCAGAAAAGTCCTCCGCACGCAGACTGCCTGGTGGCGCGTTTGTCTTCTCGAGCAAGAGAGGTAGGCTTAAGATTCTCGTGTCTTCTCCACAGATGTGGATCTCTTGAACTATTTGCAGAATGCCGGTCTGCTAGAAACTGCCTGTGGCCGTCGTGCTGCAGCGCAGGGAGGCCAGAGAAAAGAGGGGTACAACAGTAGAAGAAGAGGAGGGGGATTGTCCAGCGCGTGCCAGCCGAGCACCCGTAAGCGGCGTTTGTGCACACACAAATACCAACGTCAGGCAGGCGGCAACATATGAGGGATGCAGCAGAATCCACGACCGCACGTACAAGGTCCCGATGTGCGAGGAGACATTAGAGACTAAACGGGCGTGTCAGAAAGCAATCCAGGACGAAAAACGAAAGTTGTCCTGCGGTAGCAACAGGCGAGGCAAAGAGTTCGGCGTGCACAGGGGACTTGAGCATGTTCTGCCAAAGGTCGCTCTTGGCGTCTCAAACTATTGTACGTGTGACTGCACACTGTAGTGTACGAGAGCTAGGCACCGCGTGTTGCGACACATATGTGAATGAGAGGCGGCGAGAGATAGGGACGACTTCGGCCGATCTGCCTGACGGAAAGCGCGGAGCACCGGACACACGAGCATATTTGCAGGGGTGCTGCGCTGGGCCTGCGCTACGCGCGCATACACTAGTGTGACACATATGATGCTCCCTCGTGTAACGTGGGCATTCCGGCATCCAAAACACCGTGTGAGTCAGCGTGCACCGGTCGTCCGTGCGTGCTGTCGCCGTCATCGTTGCACGTTACCGCACCGCGACACCTAGCGGCTACGGGGTACGCCGCAGACCCGGTTCTGCGTCTAGAGCCTTGCCGCGCAAATCGAAGTAGACCTGGTGGCTCTGGAAAGGTGAGCTGAGTTTTTTAAAGTTGTGGATGTTGTTTCTTACACGGGGAGCACCTGCATGCTGGGGAGGAAGGATGCGGCAGCGTGCTGCGGGATCGTCTTCGCAGAGCACAGCTCAGACTGACTGGAGGCGGGCAGGAATGGAGGACGTGTCCGACCCATAGGACAGCAGATCCTCCACGAGCGGGGCAGATCAACACTTGCAACTGCCGCGGTTATATTCGAAGGTGGATTTCCGCTGACCGTCTTCGACAGCAGCAGAGAGCACTAAAAGGAAGGGCCATCAAGTTGCCATCGTGTAGTTGTAGAGACGGCCTTTCGGGTCGAACGGTGATTGGCTCTCTGGAATAGTCAATCACAGGTCCCCGACACAGTGAAATGTGCGTCGGCGCCCTGCCGGCAGTGTCAGCACCGCGAAAGATACACCGGGGGGGGCCTTTTCGGCAGTAACCCTGTTCCCCTCGTGCTCGCTCCAACATGCGGGGTAGTTGTTAGCTGACGTTACGCAGAACGCTGCCTTGCATCTGGATCCCAGACCACAGCAGGTAATGAGGTCAGCCATCTTGCGCGGATCAAGTTATATATGTAGACGTGCACGCCGTACGGGTGTTCCGCCAGATCTACCTCAACTCAATGCAGCGGGAAGGGGGAAGGTGCGTTGCAGGTTGTCCAGAGCGGTCCTGCGCACCTTCCGCTCTCTCTACTGGAGCACTGATTTATTTCAAGTGACCGTTCTTGGAAGGTCCGCCATTCTTATAGCACATACGCTCCAGAAGATTTGCCCGGACGCACCTCTGCAGGTGCGTTGTTGTCGGCACGCACGGGGGAGCAAGAGGGCTTCGCTTTAGGCTCTCTTAGAGCTCAGTAGGCCTGTGCCGAAGGGAGCTGGACGAATAGTAATGGACGCGCGAAGCCCCCGTGCGTCTGCACCCCTCCAGAGCTGCGCGCACATGAAGCGTACGATCCTCTGGCAGACCTTGATAAGTAGGAAACCTGACCTAGCGATGTTGTAAGGCTCGAAAGGGCGGATGTGCAGCTGTTCTAGGGGACGGACACGCGGAGCACATCGATACAGAGTGCCGGGATGAGCAGCGGATCACTTCCTCTGCAAAGCTCTTAATGCGTAGCGTGCTTCCTGCCGTGCACGTTTGGGGATGCATAGGACTTTCTCTTGTCGCGTATGAAGCTCTCTGGGAAAAACGCTCATCTCCGATTCTCTGGCGTTTCTGACTGTATTCAAAAACTCCGCTTCCTGTCCTGTCACGGGGCTCGGGAGGGGATGACTGCAAGGAGTCAGGCGTATCTCTGTCAAATCTGTATCTCTTGAGAGCTGCAGCAGATTTCGGTTCCAGCTTAAGCGGGGCACTATTCTTGTCGCTGCCTGTGATGACCCCTAACTGTTCACAGCAAGGTCGTGATCAACTTTTCAATCCATCTCATTGCCTAAGCCTTCAGAGAACTCGACATCCTAGCTGGAGGTAAATCCAACGATTATGAGCCCGAAGCTGGCTCCCTCGTCTACTTCATGCTCACTGGCATCTTCACTGTATGTTCTGCATGTTCTGCTTGAACGCACCGGGGTCCCCCACTACTAAGTAGCATGAGGTGCATCATCTGCATGTATTCACACCGTTGCACAATTCGAGGTACGGCTAGGAGTCAACAGTGAGAGGACCGCTCAGCCTGGCGCGGAATATCATGAATTTCGTGTAGAGCTACTCGTAGTAGCATGCATGAGAGGAAGAACAAACCAACTTTCTGACACGTGGTGCACCAGAAGGTTTCGCAGTCGGTGCGCTGTGTACAGACATTGACTGTGTCGTCAAGGCTCGGCGGTGGGCACTTGAGCACCGTCTGGCGTGTTGCGTGTCACGAGTAAAGAGCGGTGAGGGTATAGAGAGAAATGCGCGGTGCAGCGTCCGCTCACGTAAGCTCCACGTGTTCTATGTCTGGCCTGTCGGCGCGTAGCGAGTGCATCCTCAGTCCAAATGGCACAGAAAGAGCCATGACGCGCTGTGAACCCGGCAGTCTCCTGGAATGCACAAGGGCTTGTGGAGACAGCTTGGCGCGTATTGAACATTCCCGGCGTCGGCAGCCCAGCGTGCGGCCAGGACTCTCTCGCAGCGCACTGCTGACGTCCCTGTCGCCAGACATACAATCCAGGTGTTAAATGGAGACCCGGAAAAAACCCGGCCGTCTTTGCCACCTGGCACGACTGGTGTAATTTGTTTCACGCAGGCGCTCTGGCTGGAGCTTGGCTGGAATGTCATATCTGCGCAGCTAACCCGAATGCGGGGAGAAGTGCAAAGCCGCAGACGGCTCCATATAGCTGAGCTCCTGTAGAGAAAGTATAGCGCTGTGCTGAAAGGTGGCCGACGGAAGCATATATCACCTGCATGCAACGACAGGTGTCGTTGCCATTGTCGTCAGTTCCTGGAAAGGGCCCAGGATGTGAAGGTAGCCTGGGGGGGACAGTATCGAGAAAAACTGCCCACAATTGTAACAACAGACACTGGCACAGGTGTTTGTGGCCGCAGTCTGGTGGAGGCTGCGTTTCCAGCCTGAGCGGTGTTGGTTGCAGCAGCGAAAGGTTCGAGACTGAAAGCGCGACAAACGCAACGGCGTGGAAAAGCTTAACGACGCGTGTTGTACTGTCCTAAGGTATCTCCTGTCTGCGTAGAGGTTTTTCATCTAACCCGGTAAAAACGGGACGAAGCAAAAAAAACTAAAGCTTTGCGGCGATGGCTACGAGTGAAGGAGAGTGTTCCGCGTGCACAAGGGAGTTGCGGGTGTTCTGCCAGAGCTCGCTCTTGCCATCTCATACGATTGTACTTGTAAGTGCACACTTCAGTGTACGAGAGCTAGGCACCGCGCGCTGCGAGACATTCGTGATCGAGAAGCGGCGAGAGATAGGGATGCCTTTGGCCGACCCTCAGCGCCTGCCACATCTGCCTGACAGGAAAGCGCGGAGCACCGGGCATGCGAGAATGTTTGCAAGGATGCTGCGCTGAGCCCGCGCTACGCGCACATACACTAGTGTGACACATATGACGGCTCCTAGTGTGACGGGGGCATTCCAGCATCCAAAAGACAGAGTCAGTCAGCGTGCCTCGGTCGTCCGTGGGTGCTGTCGCCGTCATCGTTGCATGCTACCGCACCGCGACACGTGGCGATTACGGGGTACGCCGGAGACGCGGTTCTGCATCGAGAGCCTTGCCGCGTCAGACTGAAGTAGACCTGGAGGCTCCGACAAGGTTACCTGAGTCTTTTGACGCTGTGTTTGTTGTTTCTTGCACTGGGAGCAGCTGTATGCTGCGGAGGAATGATACGGCAGCGTGCTGCGAAATCGTGCGTGCAGAGCACAGCTCACACTGGCTGGAGGCGGGCAGGGATGGAGGACTTGTCCCACCCATAGGACAGCAGATCCTCAACAAGCGGAACAGGGATCAACACTTTCAACTATCGCGGTCATATTCGATGGTGGATTCCCGCTGATCCTCCTCGACAGCAGCATAGAGCACTGAATGAAACCTCAGTGGAAGTCACCCGGAATTCCCTGCAGCGTACCTCACACGGCCAAAGGTGCTTTGGCGTCTTGCCAGCAATATAAGAACAAGAAGGCGATGGGTCGCCATGTCGTTTTTTGCATGCAGTAATACGTCGGAACGGTGACTCCGTGATCTCAAAAGGAACGTATATCCAACGACCCCAGCGCCGCATGTGAGAAGCTCTCCTGCAATGACGCTGGACCACGTTTAGCATAAGGACTGGAGCACTACCATGGTGCGGCGGGTCGCCTAGAAAGCTTTGGCGTATTGATAAGGGGCACGGTAGTCTTGCGTTGCTGCTGTTCTGCTGCCGCTGTTGTTCTGGCGACGTACAGGTGGCGAGCCCGGAAGATTATTATATCGGCGAACATCCATAATCAGGTAGTGCGCCGCAACTTCGCTAGCGCTCACGAACGCATCCTTGCTGGCAGTCCCAGGGACGGAGGTATGGCCTGTGGAGTCTTCGCGGTAGGTTCCTGCAGCCCAGTGGACAGCAAGAGCGGTTGTCGAGACAGCTCAGCGTCATAGAAGTCCGTGCTAAGCGGCGGAAGCCCTGATACCGGAAGGGCTGTCTTGAGTGCTTTTCAGGCTGCTCTGAGCAGGTACAGCGTGAATTGTGCTCGATACGCCTTTCCTGGTGACCGGCGGTTGTGAACGCAGCCCCATTCGGGTTTTTTGTACGCACTCTACTGTGTCAGATGCAGCGTGTGCAGCCCGTCTGCACAAGCAACTACTCAGGGAATGGTAAGGCAGAAACAGGACAGTGAGCCGTTTCGGTGATAGCGCTTCTTCTTGGTGCACTATATCGGTCAACGCTTTAGTGCGCCAGGAATCTTTTGGCGTGTGCACTGCAGATCTGGTGCTTTAATTGCGAGAGCGCGCGCTGTGCGTCAAAGTACTACCTACGCGTGTGCCGGACGGATCAGAGAAACTACGGACGTAGCCTGGTGTTGCATTCAGTCGGCCGCGGGGGCAGTGCACAGCATCATGGATCCCAACAAACATTCGCGCGAAAAGCCCCTGTGGCCCTGCACAAGACAGAATGTTCGACGGAAGCCGACGTACTCCCTGACCTAGAGTTTCATGCAATATGCGATGACGTATATACGCAAGCGACGCCGATAGAACAAAAGGTTTTGTTCACCTGAGCGCTTTTCTGAGACATCATCTGCGTCTAGGTACAGGTATGCACTGGCGGGGACAACGACCGAGAGCTGCGAGAAGGGGTCACGCCCCACAACCGGCACCAGTCCGCTTCAGGGGCTCCGCACGCATCCCCAAGGAAAGTTCATCGTTACAGTCAATTTTGTCAGTCCACGGCTCGCGCGGCCAACGCACAAGGACAAGTCCTTCAGGCGTCACGCAGATCAGGTTGGTCCCGCTCTGAATATAATAATGCACGCGCTCTTCTGTTGCGCCTTCGCATACTTTTTTCGCGCTGCTTCTGCCGGTGAGAAGCACGCGTCTGACGTGCGAGGATAGTATTTTAAAGGACACGGTACTGAATCGCTGTTGTCTTCGGTGCGGAGACTCCTGCTGTGTGTAGCACAATACTGGACGCTTTTTGTTTGCCGTGCTGCGCTTGCGGTATCTGCTCTGTATTTCCCGACGAGTACGAGACCCGCTGACGATACAAGAGAAATTGTGTCTTTCGAAGCGAGCTCCCAGGAATCTAGTGCACCGTGAAGCGCCACCAGTGCCTAGGCATGTCATCGCATGGGCGTCACCCCCAGACGTGCAACCCCCGCGTCTCACCTTATTGCAACCTCAATGTCAACGAGACGACGCACACAGCTTGCAGGAGTGCACGTAGGAGCTGACTCTATGAAACGCTCTTCAGGCGCTCTGAATCGCTCGTGAATTTGATGAGGCACCCTTAGCACACGATCTACGCGGGACGTCTTCAATAAACGGAAACTGAGCGCAGTGGCCGGAACTGCTTCGCTCTAAGAGTGATTGCTTCACCACGCGAAACCTTCTCAAATCGATAGTACCTCGACGAAAAGATTGAGATGTTGTACGCTGATGCGCTCCAGAAGCCGTGAAAACCGGCTCTGATCATGCGACCTTGCAAGCTGTCAGCTTGTTAAGTTTAATGTGTAATAGGTGGATCGGACTGGTAGACACCTAGTATTCAGAACACTCGGGGCACAGTCGGCATCGACGCGGTCCAAAGAGATCGTCTCCGCGGGAAGCCATGTGCGCCAGGGCAGATGAAAGCGCGAGGATTGGCTCTAGAGAAGGACAGCAACAAGCACGAGTTCGCAGAAAAGGTAGACGCAAAGAAGCTAACAGTACCCGGGATACTGTGCGCAGACCACAGACGTCGCTTTGTGCGTAGGACTGCCGTACTTGCACGCAGTGCACATTTATTTCGCTCACCAGCGTGATCCGCAGCGCGCCCTTTAAAGTGTTCTCGCATATTGTCAACGGCTAGCTCGTCAAAGATCAATCCACGTTTTGGAACCGACGGAGTGTCTTAGCGTAGTACATAACCAGCGCGCGGTAAGACGAGGCCCCTAAGCTAGTCTATCAATGACAAACAACCGTCGGTCAACCAGACCCTGCCTCGGCTCTCTGTGAGCGCCAGTGACACCCGCGGCAACAGGTGATGTTGTGAGGAGCATACGTAAGGGATAAGAAGAACCAGTACGTGTTTGCCACTGAGTGTGCAGTCTCGCGCCGACGCAACTGGTACCAAGTGCGCACGCAATGTTTAAGATTGTAATGGAAGACCACTCCACGGTCAATCCGATGCCTGCCAGCAGCACGGCCGACGCATTCAGCAGTGTCGCAATCGCGCAGCGCCCGCGAGAAGAAGCTTGTGCTGTATTGCTGGTCAAGTAGCTAGGCTGCCTTCAAGAGTACCAAACCAGCGATACGTCTTTCTTGAGCACTCGACAGAAAAGATGAAGCTAGCCGTCTTCAGCTCCGGTATCCGCTTTTACATGTTCGACTATTGACGGCCCGCACGTTCCAAAACGTGAGTTACTCACGAAAGAGTAGATGACACGATTTTTCCTGGAAGAAGCCTCAGCAAAACGTACTAGGCAGGCCACAAAAAAAAGTTATTGCCACGAGCGACCTCTTCTGGCCCCCGTCGTGCGCCAAGCGGAGGCGGCACCAGTTCTAAGATTTCCGCCCTATGAAATCTCTTGAAGAGAAAGGAAGACGTCTCTGTATTGAAGTTAACAATACACGGGGCTGTTGCCATGCAGAAACAGCCACAAGCTGGTGTCGTACATTGCCCTAAAGGAGTGCATCGCGCGGGCCGTGTAACGCGGACTGGCGCGAGACGATTTGGACGTTTCTAGTCTCTAACACCGCTGCCCGTAGGTGCGAGGACGAGACAGCGCGAGGTAAGTAGCGAGAAGGCACCCGGCACGGCGTCCAGTGGTTGACTAAAACAGCATTACAAGCAACAGCATGCCACGTGGACGCACGCTTTCTGTATTCGTGCTGGCAATACGCTTTGTTTGTGAGCGGAGGCGCTCAAGTGCCATGGGGCGGGTTCACTCGAGCCAGGTCAGGCGTGCATCCCCCCAGAGCATCCGAGTCCTGCTGCCGCACCACGGCTTAGAGGAGCTATTACAAGGGACTGACGGGCCAAGGAAGGCTACAATGAGATGCAAAGCTTTCATATTGTCTCAGAATTATCAGTCGGTCTGAAAAGGCTTCGACGCAGCAAGAGTCCGACGGCACGCTTTTTCAAGAACTATGCTGGCTTATGGCAGGGTATGGTTTACACTGCCAAAACCTGTGCGGTATTAGTCAGAGGTAAGTGAAGCACAACTGCTGGCCCTGCTCGAAGCGTTGTAACCGCGTGCAAAAGCCGCGGGGCCGGCGTTTTCTTCTTCGGGGTGGAGCATGTTCTTGCCCCAGCCGACTGGCACCAAAGTTCGGTGCTAGGAGCAGCTGCGCAAATGACGCCAAGACTCGTTCCAGTGGGCACAACGCCCACTGGAAAAGGTCTGGGGCCGGCACAGGAGACTCTGGCTGTCAGAGGTGCACAGGTCCGGCTACTAGTCCACTTTATGTGTGGACACCTCTCTCAGAAGCTTTGCACCTCCTAGGGGGCGAAGACTGCTGTGTTGCGAGCCTTTTAGCACCTTGTTGTGCTGCCTCAAAATTGTGTCTTCTCCCGCGGCCGTCTTTCGCTCTGTAACGTCCTGCAGCCCAGCGAGGCCGCCCGCTGTTAACAAGGGTCGGGGAGATAACGCTGTGGCGTCCGACGCTCACGATAGCCCGGCACCGCTTGTCTCCGTGGGTCAGATCACTAGCGATTTATGGTTCACGTGGATGGATGATGCATTTGCGCAGGCTGACGGGCCGAAAGATAGGAGCCCCTGCAATTGCTGGGTTCAGCAAGTAACCGCGGGAGGCAGATGCCGCGGATCTTCAGTCGTACTGGTGGTCCGAGATTTCAAGAAGTGACGAGACTCCACAATCAGCTCGCTAAAAGGCAGACGCGTTGCATCGCACTACACGTAATGATGCTGTCGACTTTACACCAAAATGAATTCATGTGGCTTTATCATTTGCGTTCGACGTGGAAAATCTTTTGGAGGAAACGCCGAATCCGGCATGACAGAGAGACGCCCGTGAGCCGTGCCGACGCGTTCTCTTACAGAACGGTGTTGTGTGGCTAGCAACAAGGGGTTACACAGAGCGCGCTCCGTGCAGATCTTGTCTAAACCTCCGCGCAAAGCCTGATGGCACCCGAACGCCGACTGTTTGTCCGCTTTAAGGTTTCATTCTTCATAAGCTCCTGCTCTTCAGCTCCTGAGTTTTCTCGAACACGCTACGCTTGTATAAGATGCGTACTCTGTTACGCTGGCCAAGCTTGACAATCCTCCAGTTGTTGACGGGGCTCTACAGCTCCACGTGGCTGACAGCAGACGGATTTGAGCGTTGAAGCTGCGTGTGCCGAGGAATGATTCCGCTTCCTGTTTCACACGATCTTTTTGTCTTTGCCTATGGTTCTGTCATCCCAGCGTATGCACCGTGAATGGCGCAAAGCTATTCCAGAGGCTCTGGAAGACTGTTGAGAAAGGCCGGCGTCGTCTCTATTGATGCCTTCGGTCACCAGCAGCTGACATCTGCCCCTGCGTGCTGGTGAAGTCGACCTCAACGCTGGCGTCCTTGGTGTTCCTCTTTCTGCATACCAGGCAGAGCTATGAGCTGTGCAGAGGGATGAGCGTGGGGCGAAAGCCATTCGGTTGCCTTGCACCCTATAGCGAGAGGGCTCCAAGCAGCAATCCTCTTCCGCAAATGCCGCTGTGCGCACATGCTAGACGCTGGCATGCCACGCTGTAAGTAGTTACCGCTAGGTTGCACTGCAGATTACCGAGGACTCTGAATTTAGTCAGACAGAAACGGTCACTAGCGACACGGAAAAAGCTGTGGTCGTCAATTCGAGTGTGAAGACATCTATTTCCCCGAAAACATTGGTACCACATGCCGTTCGCTAGCTCCTCCCGGCAAATATTCCCTGGGTGCTTGCATACCAGCTGCTCGAGAATGCTTCGACAGTAGCAAGCGGCGGGCTGCAATTTTGTGCTTAGCCGACTCCCTTCACGCTTCTTGACAGGAACCGCGCATCATTCCCGCGTACAAGTTTACAGGAGAGCAAAGGCACTGTTTCCGCGTAACGCCCTTGACCGTACAAAATCGCGTACCCCGAGAAGGCATTGCTATCTGGCCGGAACGATTTCGCGCCTACAACCCCTCGTGTTCCGCCTTAGCGGGTCCCCGGTTGCGTGGAGTGGGTCTGGACTGGAGAACACGCGAAGATGCTGCTTAGTGGGCGACCTTCTTGCCGGCGGATGTGCAAGACGCCACTGTCATTGAATGCGTTTTGACTGAGCTCAGCTGGGACACGGATGGAACGGAAAATGGATAATCAGTATCTGGTGAGAGCTGGAGGCATCCCTGCACCGGCCTGTCAAAAAACGCGGTGCACGTGCAAGGCGGCCAGCGGTTTCCACCCGGCTGCGCGCACCGCAGGGGGTTTTTTTTTTCTATCATTTCGCGAGACGAGAGGCATTAAATGCTGTACGCGGGCAGTCTCAGCAACGGAGGCGAAGCCGGGTGTACGACTGGTGTAGAACATTCCTGCGCTCGGGAATCAAAAATCGAAAAAGTGCGAAGAATCGCCGCCAAGAACAAAAGACCCTCTTAGAGCACGCAGGCTCTCTGGGTCGCAGCGGTGACAGACTTTCCTGCCCCGGTGCGCATAAAACAAAGCTAAATCTACGCAGCGTCAGACGGACTCTTCTACTGACAAAAGCGCCGAAGTGCTCTGCGGCACGTGCGGCGGTATCGCCCGTCCTGCACCCCTGAAACAGTCAGCACCACTCATGCACTCCTGCAATATCGCCACAATGAGCGCCGGGCCTGCCGAGCCTAAAGCTGACCTGTTCGCTGCACGCACAGACCTTCCGTTGAAAGAGAATGTCGGCGCCGTACGATGTTGCGAGTTTGGCGCGACCACGGGCGTACTAGGCCAGGTGCGCCCAGCTGCACCGAAGACCTGCATCATTTTGCTTTGCTGCCCTGGGCTCTGAAACTATACAAATGCGCAAAACCAGGCGGCACACACGCGAACGCCCTGTGCACGCACGTGCACGAGGCACGGTGCACTACTACACAAAGCAGGAATCCTGCGACGGGCAGCAAGTGTGCACACTCTTTTTCCGTCTCGGGATGCGTGCAGCGTTTGACAGACAGTGTCAACAGCTGCTTTTGAGGTGCGCAGTTGGAAAAGAGTCTCACATCTGCGCCGGTACACGTTCTGTGTGACATGCCGCACGCTGTTAGCCGACGCCGGTGTACGTACGCAGGACGACAAGGAACGGTTCTATTGCATGAGCCGGCGGGCTCTTTGCGGACCCTGGCGAAAGTATCGGATAGGAGTGTTGTAACGCTTGTTGTGAGGAAGCAGAGGAAGAAATCTTGGTAACGGATCGCTCGTTCAGTGACCGAAGGTAACGAGGGACTTGGTGCTGAGGCGAAAACCGTTAGTGAATGCATTGTACCTGAAGAAACTCTCAACGTGATGGTGTATCTCGTGGAGTAAGCGCCAGCAGTGGTACACCAGTGGAAGCGCAACGTCCAGCGTCTTTGAGTACTTTTGCGCCCATGGAGATAGATACAAGTAAGTGAGGATGCTGGGGCCCTATATAATTGGCTCGAAGTTCGACGGTGCTTCCGCCAACCGCGCTGCCCGACCAATCTTGCTTAAGCAGCACAGTCCTGGCAGTGCCGCTGTGGCGTCTGACGCATTCAGAACAGAAAATAAGATGTCCGGCGCTCGAAAAACACCGCTACTTCAGTCGCGCCGGGAAGGTCGCTTCCTCCACATCTTACGGAGCAGAACACGTATGCGCAGCTACGCCGTCGGCGACGCACTGGAGAACACACAAATAAAAGGTGGTTCTCCCTGCGTCGGCGCATGTACATAAAATCACAACCGGGGGCGCACCTACCTTTTCCGTAGTGCCCCTGGGCGCTCCTGACACACGCCGATCATCTCAGGTGAAATGTTTGGCTACAGGTACGTCAGACAATATAGTCTTCGAGGAAGATAATAACATTGTACATTAGTGTGTGACTGGAAGTCCGCGTCTACGCTTGTGCATCCCTGGGGGTTCATCTAAAGAAAGAAGGAGCATCCGAGGTTTCAGGGAGCTGTACAAGTGCGTGACAGGGAGCAAGGGACGCTTAGCACGAACCGCTCTCAAGAACACGTATGTGTGGCAGTTTTTGCGCAGGAGCGCTTTTGTACGCACCAACGGTTTTGTCATATATGCTAATCAACACAAGGTTTCCGTTGCAGCCTTATAATTGGAAAGCGCTAAGGAGTCCTAACATAACATCTTATCTACTCTCATGAGGTACTGTACTTGCCACTTTAGTATGCTCGCATCCAGCCTGAAGTGATGTACAATCGCGCTGTCAGTGAGTTGTTCTGTGCACATGACAAGATCGCTTGCGAGGGTAGAGGCGACGCCGAAAGTACCAGTTTCTTTCCTAATCAGCTACTGTCGGAGTCGTGTCTGCGCGCCGCGAGGATTCGAACGCAGGAGCGGGTGAGTTCACCACGGGCATCTAGGTTGTGCCGGCCCTTTCGTAACCGCTGGCGCACCGGACGCAGGATATCACACAGTCCATCACTCTTGTGAGGGGGGAGCAGCTGCATTGCAGTTGCTGGTCTTCTCGTGGATTCTGCGTTGCTGTTGTAGACGCAGCTAATAACCTGACTGCTCATCTAGTTCCTACCGGTGGCTTACAGCTTTACACAGCAGTACAGTGTATGGTGTCCTGCACATCTCGAGGCAGGCTTTTAAGCTCAGAAGAGTGGTTTGCGCTTTATCCGGAGCGGGAATCCGGCTGCTTGGGGAAAGCGACTAGGATGGCAATGTTACCAGGACGACCGCGTAGACGCGGACGCAACAGTCCACGAGAGTTATTACCGTTGTCTGGGTGAGTAGTGCGTTCCCGTGTTTCTGACACGCTTTTGCGCGCTATGGGCACGACGCGCGGGTAGAACGCCGCGCACCACAGCGCGCAAGCTTCAGAGAAGCGTGCACACCATGCCAAAAACAGAAGTGCATAGCCAAATGCACCTCGAAGAATGCGCGTTTCCTAAGAAAAACAAGTGCGTTGCGAACAAGCGTGCACAATAACCCACGTTTCACAGCAAAAGACATTCCCGGTGGCATTAGGACACGTATACCGCACTTCAGCACAAGCAGGAGAAAGAGCATCGCAGTTGCCACAGAGTCACAGGGTCCTAGCACTGTGCGTAACAGTTATCTGAGAACACTGTGTTGCTGGAGGTCTCCTCTGTCGCTATAGCGTGAACACGTGCTAGCAAGCGACAGTGGTGCGTCTTATTCGCTCTAGCACCTTTCAGAGGGCGGTTCGAATTCTTTTTCGCCGAGACCCATCATCCTCAAATGCCGGAGACGGCAGTTACCCAGGTTCCCGCAGTGGATCTTCGATATGGTGGCCTGCTGTGTCTATGTGGCACTGCACCGCTTATGCACGTCAAAACCTACGCGCGCGGCCGTGGGTACAGCTTGGTCCGCTGCATCAGATGGCGTCTTGTGCATGGACGTCTGTAAGCCCGCAAACCTTCTAGTCGAGCGACACTTCGCAGGATGCACTTCCGCAGCTCACTTCTTGCCAAACACTCCCATCCCTAGCGGTCACCGTTCTTAAACCACTTTTGCGTAGCACTGGTGCGGGGTTGGTGGTGCCGGCATCACTAGTACTCTGTCGAAGGTCTATTAGCTTGCACGCTGCTGACAGCGCTACTCAGCGCCTCGCCAAACGGGCGCCTCTGTCCCCATGGTAAGGAATCGACCGGCGTCTATAGTACCACAAAGGCTCTGTTGCGGCACTATATGCAAATTTTAGGAGATGCAGACACTGCGTGAAAATGTGACGCGGGAAGCTGCAGGTCGTAAGGGTGGCTCACACGCTAGTTCCTTGACGTTTGCGAGACATACGTGATGTACGGCCAGAGCGTCGCTTAGTATGCGAAGGGTGAGCTTACTTGTAAGCCACTGCAACGACGACAGCCTGCGACAAGTCTCACACTGGTGCTGGGCGCTACGGCACATATGAAAGAGAAAAGTCATGTAACAAGGGCTGTCCCTGCGTCTTCCTGGCGCCCAGCAGCACACTGCGCTACCATAGGAGCATCGCCTCCCTGGCACAGCGCCTCTAGGAAGCATTAGGCTGTTCTAGCCACGTGACGCATCGTCTGCAACATGCGGTGCCAGTTCCTCATAACGTCAAAGGCAGACATTGCGACTACGCCGGCTGAGCAGCAGGGAAGCCTCTATCTGATCAAAAAGCTGCTATAAAGAGATACGGAGCACTACGCAATCCTGGAGTAGAGGGTGCCATGCCGGATCACGCAAACGCACCCCAGAACGCGTTGAATGGTCGGGATGCGACTTGGTTCGTGCCCGTCGCTGTCAACTGCCTGTCTTTGCCTTGTGACGTGGCTGTGTGAAGTCTAGGTCAAAGAAGCGATGTGGGCGCATAGACACCAGTATCGATGCGTACGCTACCCAGTTCAGGGCTGGTACATCGAGTAGCTCACAACAAATATGCTATCACAGCTTGAGTCCGGTTGCGGATGATCATGCGGAACAATTTGTGCTTCAACGCGGCGCATGCTAGGTTGTTATCCAGGAGGGAGTTACACGCTACTGCGAGTCAGATGTCATTTGTCGTACCTAAGCCCCGCGTAACGTGCGTCTCTCCCGGTGCAGCGCCCCGGCGCTGTGCTTTCGCCGAGGCATACGACACGATTTTGTGCGTTTCTGAAGTCTTGGCTCCTATCCGGTCGAGTGCTAGCTGTTCGGAAGCGTATATGGGAAAGATGTAGATGAGGAAAATACGCCAGACCGGATTTGGGCCTATTTTCTCGACAAGTGGGTGTGGATGAAAAGGGAGCACCAGGTCGTCTTTGGGATCATGTTACCAGTAGCCGAGCATTGGAGGCCTCTTACGAGCTTCTGCAGACGAGGCTGGATTGCTGACTGACGTGAGCAGGAGGAGGACACAGAAGGCCGCATAAGCGGCTCTGCGGTGTTTGCGGGGACGTCAAGTCCATGTGTGGGTCTGTCGGGGGGAACGGAAGCTCGATAGCACGCCCATTCGAGGCTGTGCGCGTCTCTCTGCGCCTCTCGCGCATCACCGTGTCTCTCCGTCGTCAATCCGGGCAGCCGCTCTATCAGACGTCTGTAAAACGAGGCAGGCAGCGACGAGATTGCGATGGAGCGTATAGGAGCATGTAAGACCTGCCGCGCCCGTAGGCGGGTATGTCTCCTTGGCCTGCCTGAGTAAGAAGCTGAGTTCTGTCTTCCGGCGTGAGACCATCTCGCTTTTACATCTTTTCGCGCAAGAGTAAGCCGATATGCTAGTCACCGTGTAGAGATGAAGGTCTCCGACATAGCTAGTAGACGTTCGTCTTGCTAGTCTCTAACAGAAAGTCCACCTCTCTCGTGGTAGCCTTCGCCCCGCAATGGAAATAGCCTACGGGACATAAGCTACTGCATTGTCAGTGCATACTGGAAAAGCAACCGTCCGAGCGGGCACCGGTGACGGGTCAATTAGTGTGGGCCACGGCGGACTGTAGAGCACGAAGGGTCATTGCTGGTGATACTCGGGGCAGAGTAAGCCTCAGCGCACCAAAAAACCTCATGGTTCATCGGGGATACCACGGGACGGCCGCAGTTCGCAGCATGAGAGAGAAACCGAGCTGCGGAGGCGTGTGCTCTCAGTCTTCGGGTCTGGATTTCAAGGTGACGCGACCGCTCGTATGCTATGTCACCACGCGCAGCACATCAGCGACGCACCTGATAAACGAACCATTTCCTTCCAGCACCTTGGGAGCTATCAGCGTACTTTGTAACATCGGGAGATGCACGGCGTAGGCCTGCCATTTTTTGGGGGAATGCACTTTTCCCGACTAAATTACCGCGAGGCTGCGGATTCTGCTTTGCGGAATGCGACATCAGCATCACGCATACATCTATGGTCTGGGGTGAGAACAGATTCTGGTGCATGGTAGAACATACTAGGCCGGAAGCAGCCTTCCCTCTCCCGTGGCAAAGTCTTGTAATATTGCCCTCGTGACGTAATTCTTCGAGCCTCTAGCAGGCAGCATACGCAAGGCGATTGCCTGGCGGTCGCCTGGGAGGGTCTGCGTTCTCCTCAGCTAGACGAGCAAGAAAGGAGAACCGCCCAGCTCCGCCGTCTGCCGCTGTGGGTCGCTCCCTCCGTAAAACATCATCTGGCTGCTTATACAGGACGTCTTGTCGGGCAGATGGGTGGTTTCTTTACATTTATCGCGCTACATCCACCTCCCTATTGCTGCGAACGTCTCGCGCCACAGCGTAGCTATAATACGGCGGAGCAAAGGACAATAGTTGTATCCGGGGCGTGGTTCATGTGTGGAGTTGGCGCGGTGGTCTCTAATCCAGACAGTGTCCGCACATGCTCGGCGGCTTTCGAAGAAAGCGACAGAGCACGCTGAGCTTGCTAAAGTGAAACTGGAGTACACGTGTAGTCACGCTTGTGTGGGACCGCCGGCAATCTACCGGCACAAGATACCGCCGCTTATGCTACATGGAGCGGCAAAGTGGCATGCGTAAATGTTGCTGAGGGCGCGCTACGGGGCGAGCCTAACAAATATGGGGTGTAAGCCAGTAGTGCAAAGTCCGCGGGTCACCGGATAAAGGTCCGTGCACGCGTCCGCCGTCGGCTGTCGCTTGCTGATAAAGCTGCAAAAGGAGGACTGCGGCAATGCGGTGGACAGAAGCACGTCACACGGTAATGTAGCGTTCGCAGCCTAGACAAGGCGGCACTGCAGGAAAGTTCCGCAGAAACGCCATGCCCCGGCCACGTTGGTACGGCTGGTGATCAGGGTGTGGCCCCGGTGAGAACTGGATTACTAGGGGCCAGTGTATATTCGGCAAAATCCATGTGGATGACTGTGGAGGTTCGGGCGCGGTATGGAAACCGGGGTCGAAGGTTAGCAGTTTAGCTGCTACTTTCCAACAAACTATTTCAGGCAGGACGGCAGAATCTGTTTTGAGTGAGTTCCAGGCGACGTACGAGACTGCTGAAAGAGACACTGGCACTAACGTCCCTCGTGATACTTCTGTGCGCTCGCGGGTGCCACCCCACAATGATACTAGACCCGGCTGCTGCATGCAGCGTTCCTAACGTGCTCGCGGTATCCTTACAGACGCGAGAGATACATATCCTTGCGTTGAGGCAGCTTTTGAAGTCACTTGTACGTCCTGCCGGTGGCGGATTCACCTTCTGAGTTAATCGCCGGTCTGCCGACGCCGATGAAGTGGTGCGTCGTACCAGGGCCCCAAAGCGTCCCACACCATATGCATACTTGCACGCTCTGGACCGTCGACGCGCATCATTATAAAGACGGCGCCGTTTAGCACGCAGTCAACGCGGCACTAGTTCTTGCACCGCCTCAACAACGGATCGAAGTCAGCATTCCTCTGCAAAGTATTAATCTCTCCTGGGTTTTAATTTTTGTGACAGCAGCGGCAGCAGCATGACAAATGGCCCTTCGCCGTTGTATCCAGCGCTTAGTTCTGCTTGTACGCACCCTACTGGTGACAACATCCACTCCCTGCGCTTTCTGCAGACGTTGCCTGCGGAACCATTCTGGAGAGGACGCTCGTAGTAGCGAAGGACAGCTCCCTGACAGGAGTATTGCGACGGAGGGCGTGTCTAGCGAGTGAGCCTTTCCACAATCCGTTCTAGTGGGTGTCGGTGTTGCAAACCCTTGGCACGATATGTGCTGTGGAAGTGCTGAGAGCTACGTGGTCTGGGACAAGGATATCTGGTAATGCTACGGCCTCTGCGCCTTCATAGGTGCGTGAGGCGACAAATAACACGACTCACCATTGAGTCCGCAGGCTCCTGCTTTGAATGCAAACCGGGGACACACACTTCGTCTCTTTCTCCAACAAAGGGTGTGCCAATGGAGCTAGCCGCTCGTGTGCGCCTTCTCAGTTTCACGTGGTAAAAGGTCTGATTTTGATGGTGGCCGCCGATCGTACAGACCTCGTGCACCAGGACCTCGTCCCCTTGCGTCGCTAGAGTTTACCTAGAGAGCCACTGCGCCAAAACATGAGAGGGCTGTGCCCTCAGTTCACGTGTAGCCCAGCTGGTACCCGGCAGAGCGAGCATTTCATCTGGAAAATGCTCTACACTGTTGCTTGGAGAGTGAGTCCAGCTATATGAGAAGCCCGACGCTCGCGACCTGCATACAGGCCAGCCACAAATGGTGGAAGGTCTGCACTTCGAGAGGCCTCAGTATAGGAACAATAGTGCGCACATACGGGTGCATGCGTCTGTTCTCAGTATGATGAGTATTCCGGCGGTGCGCGTGCAGCTTCCTCTGCACCCGCCCGCGCGGTCTGCTTCGGCCCGCAGTGCGGTTTGACGCAATTCTTTCTAGGTGGCCGTCAGCCCGAGGTAAGCACTTCGGAGACCACCAGTATACGCGGTGCCGCGCACACCGGCCCACGAGGAGCCTTTCCAAAGAGGGGATAATGGAGGCGCATGCGGCCTTCACTCTCTGTCGTGCAAAAATACCTTCGAAATGCAGAACCGGGAGCACCTCTATGACATCGGCGTACAGCGCACGCGGCCTGGTCAACCGATCTCAAGACGGCCCGCGCTGCTCATCAAGCGCTTGTGCCCTAGGAGCACAGGTGACATACTCTATTAAAGCGAGTACCCCCTCCTGTGAAGGTGCAGGATACTGAAGTCACAGGTAATACTTTGATGAGTGTCAGGCGGCGCCAGGTTGCACATAAAGCCTACGGAAACAATAAAAGCGACAGTCTCTTTGCAGGCTTGATGTCAGCTCGTGTCCTGATATATACATATATGTATACATATATATGTATAGGTCTGTGTCTCTCTCCCGGCCTGTCTGTCGCTCCGTATCTCCCTCTCTCTTCCTCTCTGCCTGTGTATCCGTCTCCCTGTTTCTATCTCTCTCTCTCTCTCTCAATATATATATATATATATACGTATATTTGTCTGTCTGTCGATCTTTACATCTATATATATATATATATCGGCATCTATCTATCTATATACATATCTGTATTAGTATATGTATATGTTCATATGGATATATATTATATGTTATCAAATAGGTTTGGCCTTTGACTTTTCTGCAGCAT